AGCTTGTTTTGAGGGTACGCATAAGATAATCTGTAAGTAAGAAAGTAATCAAAAATGAACCCCATAATTATGGCACTTACTTGTTCAGTCAGAAGACCAAACTCGTGGTCTTTTGATACAGATTTGTGTTCACCAAAGCGGTACAGAGTAGTAGGGGAAAGGCAAGTCCTAAAACTCTTGGAGTAAATAGAAAGTTGTCCTGGGTTTAATTCACTGCCTGGATTTAGCTAACACGTTTTCTGATCCAGTCCCGTAGAGCAAAGCTAAAGACTGGCAAAATGTCTTGTAAAGCAGTACCTTGCAATTCACATGAAATTCAGCGACTTTCTATATTTATTGTTTGGGGAGTAGCTTCTTAAACAGACACTTAATTTTATTTTCCTGTGCAGATAAGCTGTATATAAAACATACTTAAAGATGCACTAACTTTTATATAGGTAATATCCATGAGGAAGTCATCACCAACAGAATTAAAAGAATTCAATCTGTCAAGGACTTAAATACTGTAGAATGTGTTCATCTTTCAGGTATTTTTTGATGTCTATGGGGAGATATACTCTATTACTCAATATACAGTCCACTTCTAGTTCATGTTTCACTTCTCATCTTAAGTCTGTCTGTCAGAATTACAGTCTTCAGCTTTGCAGGAAAAGAACATTATTTCAAAAACTTGTGTTGCTGCCACCTGACTTAAGTCTCGTAATATTTGTCTGGAGAAACCTGACTCACTTTTGTTGAATTTGCATGCTAGTATTGCCATGCTGCTATCATTTCCTTACCAGAGGGCTGCTTTATCTTTGATTTTTCAAGTCCGTTTACCTAGAAGGAATCTTGTTTCCTCCCCCAGTCTTTAAGTAGAGGAGGACAACACTGCTCCATGGCTGGGAGACTGCGGTGTTATGACTGGGACATGATGGGTTTCTCGCAGGACTCCTCTCTTGCGAGGACATGAGAATGCCATTAAAACTGGGGTTGTGCATAGCAGTAACTGCAAACATTCTGCTGGGGCCGTCCCTCCTCTAGTATTAATCGATTGCTCTTGGCACTGGCATATCTAAAATAAATAAATTGCAGAGTAATCGTTGTATTTGTCTACTGAGCACAATTGCTTTTTGAGCAAGGTGATTGTGCTTTTAGCCGTAGGAGGCAGGTACTGAGAGTGTGCGTGAGAATCCTCCTGCCCTGCGCTTCCAGGAGGCTTCTGGTGGTGGTCTCATGTCTTCGGCTGACATGATGAGGGAGGGGAGGCATCTCTCCCTGGACAAGGGGACGCGCACAGATGCTTTGGCTGACGTGTCCAGGAGGGCACCTGTTCTCTTAAGTCCCCATGGCTTGCCTGTGCTGTGAACTTGGGATAAATGTGCCGAGGTTGGCAGGTTTTTGGTGCTTCTCCAGCTGAAGATTCCCATAGAGGTCTGATGTCGGGGCGGGACTAGCGTGGCCAGTTGACAATCAGAGCTGTTTTTAAGAGGTTTTCAAACTGTGTACCTGGAAACTTTGCTCTTGAAAACCTTCCAGTTTTACTTCATGTCAGATATATCCCGGTTGTCCTTCTCATGAGAGGTAGAAAATATTCAATTTCTGGTAGCTGATCATTTAGTACTTTATGCAAATAATTGATCAATTAGTGGAGTAATTTTATAAGGTGTCATGAGTCCCTTGTGAGGAGACTATGAAAGCAGCTTTGAAGTAAGCTGAATCAGTTGAGGAATTATTCTCTTTACCTTTAAGTCTTGTATGTAAGGAGGCCTGTTGGGTCATTTAGTCCCTTACTCCATTTGTCAGTTCAGCATGTTCCTGAGCACTGGCCAACCTCAGAAATAGCATGTTTATAGATGAATGTCAGGTGGACTGACTTTTGGTGTTCAATTATTAAATAATGTAATAGGCAGAGTTCATTGTACCAGTTGTGACTGTGGCTAAGTCTCGGGATAAATAGGTATCGTACGAAGAGGCTCACCCTACTTGGAATTGGCAGCAGGCTTCGTGAGAGCAGTGGAGGCATGCTCCATCCAAGTACCTCCTGTTGTGCTGGAGATAACATCACGCTGATGGGTGTTAAAACAGTATTCAAAAAGAATACAAGAAAAGGCTGAGTAAGTCCTAAGTGAGGACTACATGCTAAATACTGCGTGCCTGAGAAAAGCCTTAAAGTAAGGTTATTGTAGGCAGATCAACCCTTCGTAAGTCTAAACTTCAGCAAAGCTGATGACCAGCAGGAAGCACGAGGAGCATGGCTCTCCTCTTTGGGAATGGGAGAGGTTGGGGTTCGGCGGTGCTGCAGGCGGCTTGTACCCTGGGGTGCACAGAAGCAGAACTTGACTTTGTAGTGTTGGCTTTGCAAGCTTGCCCAGAAAACTTTAAAAACGCATCTGGTGAACAGACGGGCAACGAAATTCAATCATACCGTGTATCTGAACTACTTCCAGACTTACTACCTGTTACCCATAACCGTATTGTGGTTATAGGTAAAGTTGCTAAATATTTTATTAACGGAAATGTGAAAAAATTGCAAAAGGGCTTATTAGGGTTTACACCATGACAGTATACAACATGGTAAGTCAGGGTTACAATATCACAGTATACGACGTGGTGTGTCAGAATCTTCCTCAGTAAGGAAAATACAAGAAAACTGAGGCTGTATTCTGGAAAGTAATGCAGAAATTTGATTGTCCAGCCTTGGGCCTGGTTTTGGTCAATGGTCTGAGATAATTTCTTTTTTGCCAAGAAAAAATTCTTTATTCTCTAATGGAAGTCAATAATTTTGACCTTCACATTCTCTTGGGAACAGCTGTGGTGAACATCTGCCTCTTCTAAAGGAAGAATGGTGTTGTTCAGTGAAGTAATCCCCCCCACCCTGAATGGGATGCCTTAAATGCCATTGTAAAAAGGGGTTGTTTGGAAGTATCTATGCTTCTTGTTGACTTAGATACCTTTTGCTTTGGGCTGTATTAATTTAGGGCTGAGCTTAATTTTGAGGACCTAAAAGTTTTTTTTAGTATGAAGTTCGTAGTTAACATCCAAGTTGGGAAAGGAGGAAAGCTGTGTTTCCAGTGATGATAATTCAGTCACTCAGCACACTTCTGTATGTTTGTGGCATATATCTTAAAATAGGTAGTGATGTTTTTCTGTCCACTTATCAGGAGAGAATGGGAACGGACTGTGTAACATATGCAGTGGCTGAAGGACTTGGCATTAAACAAGCAACCTGAAGCCAAATGGTTTGCTTCTGTATGCACGCAGATTTGATTTCAGAGGAGCTGAGACTTCCTTATGCTGCGTGTGAACTTGGCCTGTTACCTTTTGTTTTTCCTGAATTTGTTTTTAATTGTACAAATGACACAGGGATTTACAGGCATGAGAAAGTCTATAATGTGCTTTGATTTAATAATAATGACGGTTGTTATTATTACCACCACCACCAATACTTTGAGGTGAGGCAGTGAGGAGCAGGGGATAGCTGTTTTCAGCTTTTCAGAAGAAAAGCATAGCTTCAGGTTTTTCTTTCACTTTCATCTCTTGCAGTGCATTATCAATGTCAACTTTTAAATCTCCATGAATCTGTCCTTGTTGAGCTCCAGCCTTGCTTAATAAACTTGATCCCTACACTTCTGGTAAACAAGATAATGTTCAGTGAAAGGGAGTATTTATCCCCTGTACCATGTCAGAGCTGTGCTCTACAATAAGCATAATTTCCTGATGCTTAGTTCTCCTGGTGATACGCCGTTTAAAATTGATTTGGATATGATGTTGGAGAGGGTGAAAGTATTTTCAGTTATTTTCCCCTAAATCTGGGAGTCTGGTCCTGGGCAGTGTTTGCTGGCAGGGCTGCCTTGCAGAGCAAGTCAGCAACCTGCGAGAAGGAGCAGCTTGGAGGAGCTACGTTGCTGCCTGCTGTTTGAAACCTCAAGCACAGAAAGCTCTTTCAGTGTTTTGAACTCAGTGATCAAAAAGCATGGCTTAGGAGGATCTCCAGAAAAACAGTACATGGCCTTGGAAAAGATGTCTTTGAAAATCTGTTCAGTTGGGCTTCTTTTTATCCAGGCTCATGTTGTTTGTCTCTTTCTGTGTTGCTGTGACAGACAGAAACTCGCTTTTCTATATTTATTTAGATGGCATGTAGGTCCTATATCTTTCAGTCCAGGATTTGGGGCTTTAAAGAAAATAAGGATAGTTCTTGATGCCATAGAAGTTGACAACACTAAGTGCCTGTCTCCTCGGTGTTACATTTAGGCAATCTTTTTTAAAAACAGGATTGAAGTATTCCTGATTTTGTGGGGATTTGGCTTCCTGATACATACGTAGTTTAAGTATTTGACTCTGAGAAATCTTAATCTTTACGTTTTTACATGCAAAATCTGTTGTCAGGCATATTCAGTGAGTCTTCACCTGATGCTGTCTTTGGACTGCAGCTGTAAGCAGGTGCCTACCCTGGTGTTGGTCATGTCAAAATACTGACATGACCAAAAAATATTGACATGATTCATGTCCATAATTTGCATTACAATTCCCACAAGCACCACTCCAGCACATCAGAGGACCTTTAAAATATGCTGAAACCTACCTTGATTGTGACAAAAAATCTGGCAAAGGAATGTGTTGTGTTTTAGATGGTACAAATAATATGTCTTAAACTGAGGCAGCCCACTCTTCTTCCCCTTTTCCCTCTCACAGGTGGGATGAGACGGGTCGGCGTGCCTGGGCTGAAATGGCTGTGAGCATCTGTTGGGATGAATACAGCTACCTGTAAAACAATCCCACACGAAATGGGATGCCAGTAGCTGCTTGTTTTTCCTTGGTTTATTTTCCTAAGAAAGCATTTTGACATGTTTTATTTGATACCTGAAATTCCACTGCAAGAACTTGTTTCGTTTTTGAAACAAATGAACAAACAAAAGTGAAGGGTCCTGTTGTTGTAACCTCCCGTAGCTTATACCAAGAAATTCTGCCTGATAAATAGTAATGTTGTGCTTTATTCTTCTAGGGGCAGTAAGCCAGAGATGACTGACAAGATGTCGAGCTTCCTTCATATTGGAGATATTTGTTCTCTCTATGCAGAGGGCTCAACAAATGGATTTATTAGCACTTTGGGGTAAGAACAGCTGTTCTCTTGTACCAAAAACATCTGTAAGATGGACTAGCAGAGCTCAGCTAGCTATCATGAGCCTGACTCCCAGGAAATACTGGGTGAAGCAAGGTAGCTTTATGTACAGTTTTGGCCCTAAATTTAAAAATGGCCTGAAGCTAATATGGCAAGTTAGATTTTGGGAGGATGGAGAGCATATCAATAGCTATGGTGTGGGTTTGATGCCCTTGGTGGGGAGGAAGAAGCTTGTCAAGTTAAGGTGTGGGTAGAGGGAATGAATGCAAGAAAATGATTTTCATGTTGTTGTCTGTCCCATGTCCATCCGTGTGTCCCGTCCTGTCCCTCCCTGCCCCCCCAGTCAGGAATGAATAGGCCCCAGTGCAATCTGCTGATTCGAAAAAAAGGATGTAGCATAGGCAATATAAGCAGTTAAAAAAAAAACAAAACCAAAACAAAAACCCATAAGAAGCCCTGAGCCAAACCTTTTATATACCACTAACTTACCACTGTGACTAGTTTTGTCTTTTCTTACAGTATTTGAGGTTTCTCCTACAAACAAAGCTGTACTTCTCCAGTCTAAGGAGAACATGTTTTGAATCTCCAGCTTTGCCTATGGCCAGCACCCCGGAGCTGCGGTGGGAGCTATGCCGTACTGGCTCCTGCCCCGGTGTGCTTCCCCACGGAGCTCCTTTGTGCTTCTTCTGCGAAGACATCAGAGTAGGTGCTCTGTAGCAGAGTGCTCTTACATACAGCAAGAAGTGTATGCCACTTCATTAAACAAAAAGTAGCTGTTCACATAGGGAAAGGAAGAATTTGCAGAGAAAAAGCCGTGGAATTGAAATAGAGCTCTGACGAGTGACAGGGTGTGTTTTATTCTGCTGCTCAACTGCTGCTGAGGAGAAATCTCTCCAAACATCAGAAGCTGGCAGCAGAGCTGTGTACCGATTTGGAAGACCTTGCAGGGGGCTGGATGAGAAGCTCAAAGAGCACATCTGCCACCTTGTTTCAAAGCAGTGAGAAAGTAGAGGGAGGAAAGTAGCATGCATGACACGTTGGTGTGGTACTTCAATACTGAATGAGTAGCGAAGAAGCAACCAGGAAGCTTGACTATCTGGTGAGTGGGCACACACACAACATGCTCTTTCTCATTTCCAGTAGCCGTAAGGGCGTCAGGGTGGGTACAGTGACAGCAAATTTTTTGATGCCTACTGTCCAGATGCATCTGATAAATGGAGCTCCCAAGCAGGGTACAAAGACAGCATCCTGGTAAGTCTCTCGGCAGGAAACGATGGGCTGGAATCTCACCTGAGTGACTCCAAACTAACTTGTAGGTTTAGTCCTCTAGCTATTAGGATTCTGGAAAATAAGGGGGCAGAGGAGGAATCAGACACTGAAGATGCACCATGATCTATTATAGGAAAGAGAAGAAAATATGGGATGCTGCCAGAAAGGAAAGAAGGTATGATAAAAGCAAGGGATGTAGTAAGTAGGGTTGGTTGAATAGTATTTGGCAAATGTATTTGACAAATTTCCCAGGTACTCGTCAAATATGACACGTACACTCTGCAGTATTCGATCAGCTGTGTAACTGGCCAAATACTATCTGCTGAAAACTGGCAAAACGAATTGAGCGATACTATACATTTGGCTATTTTCTTTCTTCCTAGTATTGAAGCAAGTTTGGCAGTAAATAATTCCCGAACAAGTAGAAAGTTGTTATGTTTAATCTCGTACAGTGCATGATGAACATTATGCAGTGGCTGTGGCTTTTGATGGCATTGCTGAGCAGATATTTTTCACCATGGGTAGTCCTTTTAGACATTACAGGCCCTAAGCACATGTATTTTCTAGGCTTGATGAGATGTTCTCATGGCAGGTCTAAAGATCCCTTAGTGTTACAAGCATCCTCTTTGATTTGATTAGTACTGTTTTAAGGTAACTGCATTATATAATGGTCACACATCTTCTGAGCCTAATTTAAGCCAGGAATCCCAATTGCTATGTGAAATATGAAATGCATTATCATCGTAATAAGCCTTCATAATCAAATTAGTTTTGTCCCATATTTAATTTAGTCTTTGTCCTGGAGAAAATTAAAGAAGCAAAGGAAAGATTCGGTGTAATTGTACTCTATACCATGTGGAGTTTTGACAGTCTTATGTCATAACAATGTGTAATGACTTGTTCATGTGGCTAATGAAGGTTGAGAAACAGATACCACTATACATTCTAATGTCATTCCAAATCTCTGAAGAGTGTTCCTATTTAATATTCCTATGACATGACTGTTGCTTAATCGGGACTTTACTCTTGCCGTTTCCCAAACTCAGCGCTGTCATCATTATGATTACTGGTTTACAATATATCCTCTTTTGTGTTTTGTGCCCTGTAAAATTATTTTCTTAGTAGTTTTAGAAGTCTTTACTTCTAATTTAATCTCAGAATGAGATGGATGTATTGCACTGAGATTCTCTCTGTGTGGGCTGATCAGAGTAACCCATTTAACTTACAATATTTTTTCAGCCCCTTGTTCATTAGAAGCAGGTGTTTCTATATTAATACTAATTAAATATTAATAATACCATTCTTGTTGGAGCACATATATGTATATATAATGCTGAATAGGGAGAAAATCCATGGGGAAAAAGCAATTTACTCTGAATGTTTGCATATGCAAATTTTAGATGCATAGAAGTGTTGAGTCCACTTAATCTCTCTGATCTCTTAATTTTTATGCACTTCATTATTTTCCGTAATTGTTGTCTCAAGATGCTCCCTGCATGTAACCAGCCTCTGCAAGGAACAACTCTCATATTCTAGGTCTCAGTCTTTCTCAAGTTGATTCTGCATGAGAATAGACCTCTCAAACCTTTAAGACCTTGAAGTTTTACTTTCTACTTTTGTGTAGAAAGCCTCTTTGACAGATTGGTTTTAAGGGGTCATACTGAATCATTTAGGATCAAATCAGCAACTACAGCGTATTTGGTTACAGCTGCATTTTCATGATTTGGAAATAGTGTTGGGTAAAAGCGCAATTCCATGTTGATGCAAAGCATGCTAAGGACAGAGCAGTGGTGACAGGTTGCATCTTAACTATTTTCTTTATTCTTTGGGCTTTGACCCTGTGAGTTTTTTTGCTGATGTGTATTCATGGGAGAAGCTCTGTCCTGGCATTCCCTATTGGAATCTCTTGGGTTCCCTTGTCCAATTCACCTCCTTCCTGGTAGAAGAGGAGGAGGTTAGTTCAGTCCCTTGACTTATCTTGTGTTTATGACTGGTGAGCAGGAAGGTGTATTTATGTCTTCCTTGCTCTTGGGAGTCAATTTTTATTGTGGCAGTTACTGTTTCTGCCTTTTCTTAATACTTTGGGACTCATAGGAGCAGTGTCCAGTTAGTGTAGTCATCATATTTTCCTGTTCTCTACCCTTCATATAAACACATTTGCAACGTTATTCAAATCTGTCCAAGAGGCAATAATTGTTCTAAGGCTGTCTCTTACCTAACTAGAATATGGGCTGTTCTGTCTGCGCCTCAAGGAGGGGACATAAAGATGATGCAGTATACAGGAGCAATGACCTATTTATTGTCCCGCCTATCCAGGAGCATAGCTCTGGGCAACAGTAAAAATTAGCTGCATGCTTCTTAGAAAGATTTGGCATAAGTTGGCATTTGGGGAATGTCTTCTGCTGAAGTGGCCACTTGGATAAAATATTGTGAATAAATTACTTTGCAATTGCTTACATCCTGGTTAGCAAAAACAAGGGAATAGAATCTCACTTTACTTCTCATTTCTTTGCAGCCTGGTGGATGATCGGTGTGTTGTACAGCCAGAAGCAGGCGATCTTAACAACCCACCCAAAAAATTTAGAGGTAAGTTTGTTAGACAGCTTATTACCCTTCTTGTTGGAAGAAGTCCTTTGTATTGTGCAATCATGTATAACTATTTTTGACCTCCACACTTCCTATAGAATATTTTAATGTCATCTTCTTCCATGAAGGGCAACTCATGAGGGGAAAAAAGTATGTAAGTGTGAATGTCTGTGTGAAGTGAGTTGTGTGACTTAACAAAGAATGCTTGTGAGGGAGTGGAGATGGGGTTGCCAGTTGAGGTTAGCTTTCAGATCTGTTCAAACTTACAGACTCTCTGTATGTTTAATTTCTTTTTCTCTATACTATCATACATGCCATTTAGTACCAAACCTACCTCAGAGAAGAGGAAAACGAAAAAGAGCAAATGTTTGTAACAGCTATTGTTGTTTCACCTCATTCGGTATTAGGTATGTTTGACTTTACTTTCATTCTGTCAGGAAACTTATGCTTAGTGATAAGAAATTAATGCCTATTTCTTTGCACAATTTGGCTAGGGCTGATTTGTTTAAGAAAAATCTCAAACAGGAAGAGAAGCACTCACTGGGATTTTGCTTGGAAAAACCTTCTTGAATTCTTCTTTTTTTTTTATGCCTTGGTTGCATCTTTTACCCAAAGGATAGCTCAGCCAAATATTCTAAAAATTGATCGACCTTTTATTGCTATTCTCAGATGTAGCAGCAACTGTCTGTCTTGTTTCTGTGTTGGATGAATCTTGTTTCCTTGCTTATGGTTTGCCTTTATCAGGGGCTCAGAATTACCATGTTTCTGTTCAGGTTTGGCTAGAACTGCAGGTGATTGCCCTTGAAAATAATATGTCTTCTGTACTGCTGGTTTTGTTTCCTGCTTTTTGTTTTTGGATATTTTTGCCATGACATGAAGATGTCGCATATAATGAAACTCTTCTTAAAATATTGCTGAAATCAGTGAGTTCTTGTTGGTTTTTCTCCCTTTTTACTGGAAAACTAAATAGCTGATGATTCAAATACCGAAGAGGCAACCTGGGGAAGTTTTAGCATTCAATATTAAGCTCTCCAGAAAAAGAACAATGGCGTTATGTGAACTAGCGCCCTGACTCTAGGCATTTTTTGATATTAAAATCATATGAAAGAATAAAGCCAGATTTGACTGAGACTACTGGCTGTAGAAGGAGGGGAGGGGAAAGAGAAAGAAAAGGGTAAGAAAAAGGCCATTCTTGCTAGCACAGTTTAGGAACTGCAAGTACAGAGAGACATTTGTCTGACATAAAACATTGTGGTTAGACATTGTAAATGTTCTCATGTTACTTATAATTTATACATGGAGAAAGAATGGTGTGAACCTCTTCCAGCCCTTGTAGTTACTTTAGTTACACTAAAGGTTTCATGGGGAAGTTTATGCTTCATGGTAAATGGCAACAAAATTCCTAAAATTTTAGCAGGCATTTCTGTTATTGATACACATGCTTTACAAGTGTGGTCTAAGACAAAACGCTTTGCACGATAAACACGTTCAGAAGAAGTAATAATGAAGTTTGTCGCACTATCTTCAACACAAATGGAAAATACGTGAAGCAAAGGCACCCGGAGGTTTGTCTGGGGTGTTGCACGGGAAGTCTCGGGCAGGGTCAGGGGCTGCAGCCACATGTCTGCAATCTCAGTGTTTTTATGACACTTTGCAAAAATACCTGCCTTGCAGATGGAACACAGAGTCTAACGCTACAGTGCATTTATCCAAACAGTAACATTTACATCTGGGATATAAAGCAACCATGGGCATCTGGTGAATGTAGTTCCGTAGTCCCAGTACTGAGTTTTGTCATACTTGAGATTTAGTCTTCATTGCCTTGGGCAGTGTCACTGGTACAGCAGGTCTGTGGCACAAGACACCTCTTGTACAGTAGCAGCCTGGAGTGGGAACTGATGTGGAATGTTCTAGTAGCCAGTAAACTTTGTACTTTGCGGTGCCCACATTTGTTCAATGATTTCATATAGTCCACAGTAGTCATTGCAGCCAATACGATCACTGCCGTTCGAGGCCTGAGGAGAGGTGTGATCTCCGTTTGAATTCGAATAGGTGCAAAACACTGGCACTGGTACCTGAGAAGTAACTTCTGAAAATCTCTTTAGAGCAGGACCAAAATTAATCAAACGTAAGTGAGTTACGTTATAGCTTTACACCATACTGAAAAAATGCCTGTATGCTATAACCTGTTTTCTGTCTATGTGCAAATCCTCTTTCAAACTAACTGTGCTTTGAAGTGTCCAGATGCAGGTCAGTCAAATCTGAAGTCACCTTCTGGAGGAACACTGAACGTGTGACTTCGTGGCCAGTCTCAAGGATTTTGCTTTGGGTAGTGTATTTAAGAAATGTAATTCTAAGCTTCTCTGAGCAGATCTGTATTCTGTGGGCAGATGTAAAACAGTTGTAAATATAATTTTCATGCTTAATCAAAGTGGTGAGAGATATCTAGAAGCAAGATTCACTGCTTAGATATGCATACATGACTCTAAGAAAATTCAGTGTGAAACTAAAGCATATATATCCAGTGGCAGAATTAATCCATCCTGCTTTTTCCTTAGCCATGGGTGTTTCAGGTTTTAAAAAATCTGGTTGCCTAGGCTACACTTCATCAGTTGCATCTCGTGGCAGCAGCAAGACCCTGGTCTAGAGGATGGTGGTTTTTCTTTCCTCTCTACTTCAGACCCTTGAAATACAGCAGAGCTGCTGTGCACGAAGTGGTGGTGTGTATGCACCATCCTTCTTCCCAGAGAGCCCCTCTCAGGTGAGGGCAGCTGACGGTAATGCTTAGCTGTATATGCTGTCACTAAACTCTGATAACCTGCTTGTGGTGTGAAAACAGTCCCTCCTGAGGAGTGTGTTTCTAAAAGCAAGCACTTCGTAGCTGAAACGGAGGTGGGTCTATGTGCTAGTAAGTCACTCCTTTTAAAAGTGTTGGCTTCAAGTTGTCCTAAGGAAAATTCAGTGAGGAAAGCTTGATGTGTGTTTGGATGAGCTGGGTTGAACAGAATGATTTGCAGCGGCACGACTGGAGTAGGAGATGGGAGCGTTAGAGCCTTTCAGTCTGCTTGGAGGAAAATGTACAGAGGTATCCTGAGGACACGAGGGCTTGCTCTGTAGACAAAAGTTGTAGAAAAAGTAGGCTGACAGATGAATCTGGTGGTGGTGGAGCCCTGGAAGGGATGCAATGCAAGAGGAGGCTGAGAGTAAGATGGGATAGAGTTCAGCTAAGATTTGGAGTGTGGTATAAAAGTATATGAGATACGAAAAAAAAGAAAATTCAGAGGGTGTATTAGATGGAAGAAAACTCAAGTGCTGGAGTTGGAAAGAACTCTAAAGAAAGGCATTAGTCCCAGCACCCTCAAGTTACTATGAGTGTATACCAGTAGTTATTTCACATATTAAGTGCTGTTGTGCCTCTAGGTCCTTACAATATTAGTTTGATCACTTGAAGGTGTGAAGGCTGATTTTTTTTTTTTCCCCTTCCTTTTTCCCATCCCAATCAGAAGTAGATAGCGCCTGAAGTTAGTGGGTTGATGCTGGATGGTAACTATGGTCTGTGAGATTTTGGTGGATTCTGGTTTGTTTTTTCGGGTGGATTTCTGAGTCTGGCTTTCTGAATCCACTTTAAATATGGTGGTTTGGGTGTGGGTTTTGGGGATTTTTTTCTTTTTTTTTTAAATACAGTGTTTCTCTGGACCTTCAAGTTTTCAGCTCCAACTAATTCAGAAGTCCTCTAAAACTGCCTTGCAAAACATTAAGACTTAAGAGTACATTTGTTACGGTGTTTCTTTTTAAAAAAGTTAATATGAAAATTCTTGTGAAAGAGAGTTGTACTTAAGTGCTATGAATTTACTGTGTACAGATGAGATTCCTGGGGAAAAAAAAAAAACAACCTTAGTTCTATGAGTCTCCAAAAAGAGTGTGACAGTTCCTTGGTTATCTCCACTGCTTTGAACAAAAAAAGGCATTTTATGTATTTTATGAAGCTGGAATCGCTGCTCTAATTGCAGTCTTTGAATATGACTGTGCATCTGAATAGTGACTATAAATGAACATCCTTTTAATATGCGTGGATTTATGTGGAAAGCATGAACTACAGCTGACCCTCTAGCTAGGCTAAAAGCACCAGTGTTTCATAAGAAATCATTCGTACTTAAACGCACAGGGACAGATAGCTATTTTGCAAATTAAAGTCAGACCTAGCAATACTGGTGAAGCTGAAGCAGAGCCCAGGGCTGATAATTTTGTGCTTTAGCTGCTGCTTCTGTGCTCTATTCATCAGTTTGTATGTGCTTTTGCAGAGGTTTTGTGTTCATTTTGTATTGGAATTTAGCGCTGTGCTAAGCCAAATGTGTTTGCTTAATGCAAGACACTGCTACTACACCAAAACAGTCTGTCTGACAGCCTTCTCAGGAAATTCCTTACAGTTCTTTATTTGGGATGCAGATCTGTCTGCCAGGAATCCAGAAGCTTTGCAATAGCTGCATAAAACGCAGGGAAAAGGGGGACTTACTGGGTTAATTTGTCCGGCAGCTACCTCCTTCCAGAACATTGTTTTAGTAGTTGCTGGGCAACACTCTTTTTTTGGCAAGATGTTCAAGGAATGAACCCATATCTTAGACTTAAAATACCCTCATGGTGAAGCAGAAGATGAGTAGTTCAGATTTTTCTTTTTGTTTGTTCTTTTGATCCTAATCCATACTGTCTGCTCTTTCTGAATATTGCCTTCGCAAAGCATTCGGTCAGGCTCGCCGGGTGGTGTTAGGGGCTAGCACTGAGGCTCTTGGCTTTGAACTACAAGTTCATCTTCAGTAGACTATAAAGAAGCTTTAATATAGAAATATGTATTAAAAAAAAAATCTACACACCCATATTCTTTTGATGGCTTTCTCTTAAGTTCACACTGTGCTTAGCATTGATGAAAGGCAATACGCTTCTCCGTAACAGAAGTGGTTTGAGTTATGTTTTGTTCTTAATAGCTTTGCCATTGATGACCAGAA